CAAATTCTTATCGCATTCCATGAGAAGATGGTTCGGTCATAAACCAAACAAGAAATAAGGAAGAAATTAAATAATGATGACCTCCCCAACTGAATAACCCACTATATAATCCTAGTCAATCAATGCATTGGATAGATTACTTGACACATTTCATCTTAAAGGACAAAGGGAAGATTAAACCAAATCAAAGAACTTAGAAAGAACCAATCGACAACAAACCTCGTGCAGAATAGATATCATAGCGATATTTGTTTTTCCAGCCCCAGTTGGAGCACAAACCTGAAAAGCAAAGTAAAAGTTTTCTCACACAAAATAAAAGTTCTAGTTCTACTGAAAATGAATCCATACAAGTACAATAGAATACTCTAGTACTCACGAGTATGTTTTCATTGCTATTATAAGTAGTTGGATATATTCGGCTCTGAATACGGTTCAAAGATTTGTAGCCTTGAAATGCAGCTTGAGCCAAATCCTCTAGTTCTTTTATCTCAATCTGAGAGAAGAGAACCAAAAATAAAGAGGTTAGTGTTGATAGTAAACTGCTAACAGTATAAAAAGAATCTCAAAACAAATGCAGAGGAAGTCTATTTGGAGAGCATGTTTTAATTACTTTACCAGTCACAAAGTCAAATTCCTGAGGCTATGAATTAAGCATGTCCATTTCCTAAAAGCTTCTAGAAACCTCTAATTTGATGGAAAATAAGATGCACATAAACTTTCTTAAATAAATGAGAAATTTTTCTTTTATAATTTAAAACATGCTCTCCAAATAGAACCTAGTATAGTTTTTTTGCAATCAATGCTTGAGGCACTTTCTATTTTATGAAACTACGGGCTATAGGATTTTAAAAAATAAATAAATAAAAGTATAATACAAAGAACAAATTAACATATTCAATCATCACCCGTTCACTGACACCAATAGACACAAAGTATAGAGTGAAGAGATAGAGTACCAGTCTTTCCCCAGGTTTCATGGGTGCAGTTATTGTTGGAGGTATAATGACTTCTTCATATCCCTTGTGATGTTTCCGTATGGTTCCTTGAGGAAGGGCAGTAGTAGCTAATGAATTAGGCCCTTCACCACGCCCAATGAGATCCTCAAATATGTTTTTCTTCTCACTTGCTTGAAGTAAAGAACTAAAGTTCATCAACGACAAGTCATTCTCAACCCCATTATCTGCCACACGTCTATGCTTTTTTTCTTCCTTTCGACGAAGTTTATCAATTAGCTTCTCAGATTCTGTTTGAACAGTTACCTGTGAGAAGATTAACAAGTTTACAGTGCCAAATTAGGTCTTTATCATTGCAGGGATCAAAAGTATTCTAATTTTCAGGAAAATAAATTACACTGAGATTTTCCAAAAACCACTTTATTATTTTATTTACCTGAGTGCCATAACTAGGCTGGCGTGACTGAGAGCTTGTAGCCATCTTGTCAGCTTTCAGTACAGACACTCCATGATGGATGGCATCGACAAGTTCCTTTCTATGCTGAGATAAAGAGAACCCTTTCAGGTTAAGGGGTCAAATTGTGCAGGAATAAGTATAACCATTGAGCATTTTATCAACCTCAAACAGGATTACACACTTGAACTCCAGATAAGATAGAAAGCAGCATGGAAGGAGCAGGGATACTTCTTACCATTATAAGATCCTGAACTGTTTCGAATGCACTATCACCAACAAGATCTAGCAAATCACCAGCTATCTTCATAGAAGAATTTGAAATGTTCTCAGAATTAACATAGCACAAATATGACAAGTGCAGTCAGAAAGGAAACATATAATCAAGTTACCTCATCACCAGCTTTCTCTGAATCAAGCACACGGCATATTGCCATTGCCAGTTCATCTCTGGGAAGCTGTGAAGTACTTTCACTAACTATCCTATCACAAGCATCTCTTAACCATTCTAAATCAAATTTAGCTCCTGTTAAATGACCACCATCAAAGGAGTAACCATGCGTGTACTCATTCCGGTAATTTGAAGTCTCTTTGTCATGCCCAACAACAAAGTCTAAATCTTCCAAAGAAGCATCAACTAAAAATCGAGCAGGTGGCTGAAAGACGAGATCTGATCCAAATTCAAAATTATCACCACCTCCATCTTCCATTTCTAGCACAGGCACGGTTCGATGCTTGTTCTCCTGCAACTCAGAAAGTCTTTGTGCTAAATTTGCAGCCTTGTGTAGAACTGCATTAGGAATAGCATAACCAACAAGCTTTTGCAAATCTAACCTACATTCAGCAGAAGTACAATGAATGACCATTTCTGAGTTATAGAACACAAGCATCTTACAATATAAAAAAGGTTAGCAAACCAATGAAGATAATAGTCAAAACTATATTGATGCGTCAAACAATATACTTTCAAAAGAAGGGGCAACAATTAATTAATTATGGTGTAACAATAACCAGACCAGAGTAGACAAGTGAAGTGACTGTAGTTTCAGGACAGTTACAAATTACAGTTTGTTATAAGAAATCGGGACATTGTATATGAGAAGCAGATCGCAAATCCACAGCATTCCCAAAATGTAATACTCGCACTTCAAAAGATAGTAATTCCTAAAGCACAACTGGTTTCTTCTGAGAATCTTATGATATCTAGGTGTGTGAGAGTGTAAGGCCAGATCCCAGGTTCAGCCACTTCATTTGCATTTTAGCTGTTCTTATGCCATTTTATGCCCAGTGCAAGGTCTCAGACTCAGATAAATGGAAGCCTAAATAGGCCACCCATCAGTCTATGTGACTGGAAACCCATTAAACAACAGCTACAGAGCAGCAGTCAGTAAACAGAGCCAATTATGAACCATTACATTTTCAAAGGAAGTAGCACTGAAAAATATAATTCTGCAAAGAAGGTTTCATTGTTTGCTAACATGTATAAATAAGTACATATCAGGCATGTTGGCAACAAGATAAAAATTAATAAAGAAAGACCAACACACACAAAGGGGGCTATAGTTACTAAAAATTAAGAAACTACACTCTTACTTCTTATCTGAAATTATACGGTCTTCTTCACCCTCCAGCATCGGCCCACTAAAATGTCTATAAACACTCAATGCCACCTCCCTAAACTCATCTTGTACCACCTCACCGCCCACCAACTCACGCACCGATCCAATAAACTGCTTGTAAGCTTGTCGCTGTTCTGGAGAAGCTGCAAACCAATCACGAAGATTTGTTAAAAGCCAATGCATTTTAACCACATTAACAAACACAGGTAGTTTTTTAAGCATTTAGCTTAATACCTTCATCCCATTTATACACAATAGTTCGAGCAAGCTCCGATTCTTCGAATGAACTAGCAGAACTTCAAAAAATGATAACAACGAATTTTTAATGTTTAGAAATGCGGGAAATTTGCGGAGAAAGTAATGGAATTGAATGTGAAGTGAGTACCTGCGAGGCTTGAGGCCTTGGAGAATGGTTTTCCGGTGTAAATAGGCTTGATCAACGTCGAATGGGTCACAGAGAGAGCTGGTGAGGCGAGGGAGTTGAAGCAACATGGATGATCCTTGGAGCAGACTTGATCAGAGCGGGGAAAATCGAGGGAGAAGATAGAGGGTTTAAAGCTCAAATTTGGCAAATTGGTATGGGTATATATATTTCTGAATTAACCGGTTCGTCAAATTTGGCTCCGTTGCTTGGCGGTGATGTGTTAATATTACCCCTAGGTTTGTTTTTTATTGAACCCCTAGGTTTGTTGGCTATGTCAATACTTATACCGTGCGCATGATTCAAAACGATAATATACTACAGAGTATCAGTAAATTTCAAAATTGGTACTGTAATTCACGAACAGAGGCTGGGTCGTCGGGTCAGGCTGATGGGCTGTTTGACCAATCGTTATGTTGTACAACCGTGTGCATCGTGCATGATGCATATAGTTGCGAACGACGCTATTTCACTATGATGGAATAACAATGTCGTTTGTGGCACCGTTTAACTCCATCAATCAATTTTTTTTTTTAAATTCAATCTGCTATAAGTTAAAATAAAGTACTAGTAACCGGTGTAGATATATAGTTCACTAATTCTGAATAGATAGTTCATTAATTCTGGATATATAGTTCACTAATTTTGGATATATAGTTTATTAATTCTGGATATATAGCTCAAATTATGCACAGCATACCGCTGTTAACGGTAATCAAAAATGAATATTTTTTTTAAAGTCAGACGGCGTCGTTTTTAATCAAAACAACGCCGTATTGTAACCGTGTGCACCATGCATGGTGCACACGGTTGCACGGCTGTAATGATAGATTCTAGGGTTTAGGAATTTTAGAGAAGAAGAGAATAGAAGAGGAAAGGTGAGAAGAATTCAGAAAATTGCATTGAAGTGTTTTCATGTCCTTACAATTCGAACTAACAGCTTTAATACTCAACTGCCTAACTAATCCCGTCGTCAAACGACGTCGTAGGACACTAACCGTCTAACTGCCACTTATTGGAACGGCGTCGTTTTGGCCTTTGCTAACTGCCCAACCGTTTTTTCTATTCACGCGACGTCGTTTCAGTCTCCTTCTTCGATTCCTTCTTCACTCACTTGCTGGGATCATAACATTGGGGCAGTTAGCAAAGGCCAAAATGACGTCGTTCCAATAAGTGGCAGTTAGACGGTTAGTGTCCTACGACGTCGTTTGAGGACGGGATTAGTTAGGCAGTTGAGTATTAAAGCTGTTAGTTCGAATTGTAAGGACATGAAAACACTTCAATTCAATTTTCTGAATTCTTCTCACCTTTCCTCTTCTATTCTCTTCTTCTCTAAAATTCCTAAACCCTAGAATCATTACATTTGGTATCAGAGCCCTCAAATGGAGGCACGATTGAATCAATTGGAACTTGTGGTAGCAGATCTGAGCTTCCAAGTAGATTCACAGCAGAAATCGACTCAAGAATTAGTGGAGAAGCTGGCTGCTCAGATGAGTGACTGGAAGAACGAAATAGTGGAAACACTATGATTGAACCGTCCACAACCACCACTGATGAACCTCACTCCAGACGGATCTTCTGTTAATGGAGTCAGGCAGGACATTCCGGCCAATTCACAGCAAGGCCAAGCCGCACAGTCAAGGAGAGCGGGAAAAGGTCCAGCAACCTCAGTACCAATGGCTGGGATAGATGGATCGGATGATGAAGGGGAGCTGGAAGGATCTAATATGGCTAGAAGGGAGCAATTCGCCATGATCCGGAGACAGGAACCAGGCCCTCATATGATGAGGTACCGGTACGATTTTCCCCCTTTTGACTATGATCAGCCACGATTGTGGATCAGTAGATGCGAAAGATTTATCTTGATGTCACATATCCCTAAAATTGAAGTTATGCATGTGCTCTATGTCAACTTAACTGGTAGAGTATGGCTGTGGTATGAGGGGTATTTGACTGGAATTGAAGGTCCTTTTATGTGGTCACACTTTGCTGAGGCAGTATGTAGAAGGTTTGGAGAAGATAGTGGAGCAGTTATGGAAGATTTCACTATCCTTAGACACACAGGAGGAGTTTTAGACTTCACAGATAAGTTTGAGGAATTGAGAAGCCAGCTTGTCCAGAAACACCCCACACTCACTGATTTATACTTCCTAGAAGCTTACATTGCTAGGCTCAAACCAAAGCTCAGATGTTTTGTGAAAACCATACAGCCTAAAACCCTAGCAGATGCCATGTGGTTTGCCAAACAGTTTGAGAAAGGGTTACAGTCCAATGAGCCACCAAAACCATCCTACCACTACAATACCAGGCCAACCACAACATTACCAACCCCAAAGCCATACACTACTAGCCCTAAACCCACAAATTCCCTGGGATCTACAGCCTCCAATAGCCTGAGTACCACTACTAAGATGCCTGAAACTGCTAAGCTCAAGTCACAGTTGAGGGAGCAGAATAAATGCTTTAGATGTTTTGAACCTTGGCAACCTGGCCATAGGTGCAAGGGTTCCACTCTCCATGTTATTGAGGAAGGGGAATTTCATGATGCCCCTGAGGAATTATTGGCAGAAGGTCAGGAACAAGGGCCTATAGGAACACAGGAACAAGCTGAGGTTTCACTTTATGCCATGACGGGAGGGGAAAGAATGAACACCATCAAGCTACTTGGATCCATACACAAACAAACAGTGGTCATCCTTGTGGATAGTGGAAGTACACATAGCTTCCTAGATCCCAAACTCCTCACACAATTAAGGATAGAACCAGAAAGAACGCAGGTCCTCAATGTGACAGTAGCTAATGGAGAACAAATGAGATGTGATACCATTTGTAAGAAATTGAGATGGCAAATTCAGAAGGAAGACTTTGAAAAGGACTTCAGATTGTTAAAGCTGGGAGGGTGTGACATGGTCCTTGGAATGGACTGGATAGACCAGTTTGCCCCCATACAATTACACACTAGGCCCTTGGGTATATCATTCCACAAGGAAGGGAGGAGAGTGTTGCGGAAAGGATTAACCAGGAAGCCACATAATTTGCAGGCAGCAACTAAAAGGGGCCTCAAGAAATGGCAACATTGTGGAGTACAAGGATTCCTTGTGCAGTGTGAAGGGATCAGTAGAAAAGATGTTGAAAGCAGATCCAGTACATGTTATAAGGTGGAAGTTCAAACAGAATTCCCAGAACTAACTACAATACTGGATGAGTTCAATGAATTGTTTGATGAACCACAGACATTACCACCTATAAGGGCTTATGATCATGCAATTCCCTTGATTCCAGGAGCACAACCAGTAAACATCAAACCATACAGATATTCTTTTGACCAAAAGAATGTGATAGAGAAGATGGTGGAAGAAATGCTAGAAGTTGGGGTAATTACTGAGAGTGTATCATCATTCTCATCTCCTGTTCTGTTGGTACCCAAGAAGGATGGAACTTGGAGATTTTGGGTTGATTATAGAGCTTTAAATAACATCACTGTGAAGAACAAATATCCTATCCCAGTGGTAGAGGACCTTTTTTATGAATTAGCAGGCTCTAAATACTTCTCTAAATTGGATCTGAGGGCAGGATATCACCAGGTGAGAATGAAGGAAGGAGAAGAACACAAAACTGCTTTTAAGACTCACCAAGGCTTGTATGAGTTTAGGGTCATGCCTTTTGGCCTTACCAATGCCCCAGCCACATTCCAAGCGCTAATGAACCACATATTCAAACCATTACTGAGAAAATTTGTCCTAGTTTTTTTTGATGATATTCTGATTTACAGTTCAGGACTGAATGAGCACTGGAACAATCTGAGGGAGGTATTGAGTCTGATGAGGGCACATAAACTGCTAGCTAAGCTTAGCAAATGCTCCTTTGCAAAGAAAGAAGTGGAGTATTTGGGGCATGTTATATCAGAACAAGGACTACACACAGATCCTTCCAAGCTTAAGGCTGTTGCAGAGTGGCCAAAACCTGTATCTATCAAAGGACTGAGAGGGTTTCTAGGCCTAACTGGGTACTATAGAAGATTCATTAAATCATATGGGTGATTAGTAGGCCACTGACAAATATGCTGAAAAAGAATTCCTACCACTGGAATGAAGAAGCTGAATGTGCCTTTGAGAGACTTAAACAAGCCTTATGCTCAGCTCCAGTTTTGGCCCTACCTGATTTTCAAAAGCCTTTTACAATTGAAGCTGATGCATGCAATAAGGAAATGGGGGCAGTACTAATCCAAGAAGGTAAACCAGTGGCATATTTCAGCAAAGCATTTGGAGAAAAACACTTGGGGTTATCTATATATGAGAAAGAATATATGTCAATCATTAAAGCAGTGGAGAAATGGAAGCCATACTTATTGGGCAGACATTTCCTCATAAAGACTGACCACCATAGTCTCAAATTCCTATTGGATCAGAAGATCACAACTGCCACTCAGCAAAGAGGACTAGCTAAACTCTTGGGACTACATTATACTATCCAGTATAAGAAAGGCATTGAGAATTGTGTTGCAGATGCCTTGTCCAGAAGATAAACTGACCAAGAGTGGGAAGTCAACAGCAGTAGGCCTACACTTAACTCAGTGTTCACAATTAGACCCCAGTGGATGGAAGAGGTGTTTGGCAGCTATGAAGATGATGATTGGGCCCAAAGCCAACTAACAGCATCCTTGATCACTCCTGGAACTGATCCTAGGATCACTATTGTGGATGGCTTAATCAAATTTAAGCAGAGGCTTTATATTGGTACTAAGGGAGAATTAAGATCTAAGCTAGTGTCCCAGATGCATAATTCCCCTCTGGGAGGGCACTCTGGCCAGCAGGGCACATATCAAAGATTAAGGGCTCTATTTTATTGGCAGAAAATGAAGGTGACAGTCAAGGAAATGGTGGAAAGATGTGACACTTGCCAAAGATGCAAACCTGAGACTGTGGCTTCTCTTAGCCTCTTACAGCCATTGTCTATTCCTGAGCAAGCTTGGAGAGGCATATCCATGGATTTTATTGAGGGATTGCCAAAGTCCCATGGGAAGGAGGTGATCCTGGTGATTGTGGACAGGCTTACTAAGTACAGTCACTTCCTTGCATTGGCTCATCCATATACTGCTGAGATAGTAGCTATGACTTTCATGGAAAACATTTACAAGCTGCATGGATTGCCTGAGGACATTGTAACTGACAGAGATTCAGTATTTTTGAGCAAATTCTGGCAAATTACATTCAAGCAGCTGCAAATTCAATTGAGCATGTCCACAGCCTATCATCCACAATCAGATGGCCAAACTGAAAGGGTAAATAGATGCTTGGAGACTTACTTGAGATGCATGGTATTCAGCAAACCTAAGGCTTGGGCTAAGTGGTTATATCTGGCAGAATACTGGTATAATACAGACTTCCATTCTTCATTGAAATGCACTCCCTTCCAGGCACTATATGGATATAGCCCACGTATGTTGGCTTTAAATGCAAGTCAGGGGAGGGGAGATGGTGACTGGTTGTCTGAAAGGGAATCAATGTTAGCAGTGCTCAAGGATAACCTTAGAAGAGCCCAGGAAAGGATGAAGCAGCAGGTTGATAAGGGTAGAAGTGAAAGAAGCCTGGAATTAGGGGATTGGGTGTATCTCAAAGTCCAACCCTATAGGCAGATTACGGTGGCTGTAAGGGCCAACATCAAGCTTACATCTAAATACTATGGCCCCTATCAGGTGATAGAAAAGATAGGAACTATGGCCTATAAGCTTGCATTACCATCCACTGCATAGATCCATCCAGTTTTCCACATTTCACAGCTTAAAAAGAAGGTGGGAGGCAATGCATTGGCTCAGCTAGAGCCACCCTTGACTGGACAGGAAGGGGAGCTCCTGGTTCGACCAATTGCAGTCCTTAATAAGCGACTTGTGAAGAGAAACAATCAAGCTGTGTCTCAAATTCTTGTCCAATGGGCAAACTTGCCAAAAGAAGCTGCAACATGGGAGGACTTCTATCACATCACTAACCAGTTTACAAAGTTTGATCCTTGGGGACAAGGATCTTTGAATGGGGGAAGCAATGTTATGATCCCAGCAAGTGAGTGAACAAGGAATCGAAGAAGGAGACTGAAACGACGTCGCGTGAATAGAAGAAACGGTTGGGCAGTTAGCAAAGGCCAAAACGACGTCGTTCCAATAAGTGGCAGTTAGACGGTTAGTGTCCTACGACGTCGTTTGACGACGGGATTAGTTAGGCAGTTGAGTATTAAAGCTGTTAGTTCGAATTGTAAGGACATGAAAACACTTCAATGCAATTTTCTGAATTCTTCTCACCTTTCCTCTTCTATTCTCTTCTTTCTCTAAAATTCCTAAACCCTAGAATCATTACAACGGCATAATTTGCCGTTGGGGAAACCTGTGCTGAGGATTTAATTGAAGGAGCAGAGGAGGGTGCCGTTAACAAAGCAGATGGCCGGTCTCCGTCTAATACCGTGGCAATTTGTGAGGCTGAGGATTTGGTGAAAATTGTGAGCAAAATGGCAGAAGTGATTTGTACGCCTAAGAACCCTGTGAAAGGCAAGAAAAATAAGAGGAAGGGGAAGACTATATATATCTGGAAATTCCAGCACGCAAGCCTCCAGTTCTAGTACTGAGCTTTAATTCCTGGGTTGACAAAGTAAAGGAGAATATGAATTATGATGTGGAGATGGTACAAACTGTAGAGGATGAAGATGCAATGGCTTTGATTTTGAAATCATACATCATATTGATGGAGATGGCTAAATCGGAAGAAGGTAAACAAGAGTATATAGGGGGGAAGCTATGTCGGTGGGCATGGAGGCAGTTTGGGCCAGGATTCAATTGCAATTTTGAAGGGAGGAGGCTACTGGAGCAATTGCCTACTGGAATTGTTTAGTTGCTGGGAAGTGTGAGTTGGCCTATGTGATTTTTTTTTGAACCGTAGTTTCTGTTCTATGCAGCTCAAGTCAATACCTCACTATCTAGGTTCGATTCTTTGACATTTCTTTAAAAAGAGTTACAAAGGTGTCATCTGAAAAATTGTAATTTAATTGGCGAGGCCATTTAATTGCAATTGTTGGTGGTTTTTATGGCAGTTGCATATTTGTTGGCTACTGAGAAAATGATCGCATTATTTTGGTTGGGAAGGGCTTTTGAATTTGTGTGGTCTTTGCTACTGGAATTGAAATGGCTTTTGGAAATTAATTGCTTCAGAAATGTTTGAGTTGAGAAAAAAAAATATTCAATTGTTATCAATTTTGGTTATTTCGGTCAAATAAAAATTTTTAATAGGTAAAATAATAAGGATATTTTAGTCATTTTACTTTTATTCCCGACGAGCTACCGTGTTTCCGGCCAAAGACTCTGTCCAGCCTTTGGTCTGGCTCTGATACCAAATTGAAGTATGTGCTCCATCTCAACTAATAAAAATCTAAGCTGATAATTTGATTGCACATTAATAGTTATATGCTCAACACACAAAGGCCACATTTAAACAAACTTGATTCACATTGTTGCTCCTTCGCGGATGATTTCAGGATATGTACATTTTTTTCTGAATCCGTCTGTATGACATACGGTGCCAAACATTAATCAAGCAAAGTATAGTGAGATTGCAATCAACAATAACAGCATATCAAGTCCATTTTTTATTACTATCATAGTATAAAGAACTAAAGGTCAAATTATTTTATATTCTTGTTTCGCCCTTACCTAATCAAAAAGGGAAGTAAGATTTGGCCAAAAAACTTCACCCAAACATAGCCTTTTGTCAGAAACATGGTAGGTCGGAGAAGAAAGAAAACAAAGGTAAAATGATTAAAATACCCTCATTACTTTACCTATTAAAATTTTCTGGTGAGATTTGCCCATCAATTTGGCTGGAGTGACTAAAATTGAAAAAAAAAATTGAATAGTTAATGTACTAAATTAACACTTTTAAAAGTCGTAGACTGCAATTAATAAGACACCAATAATCACGACCAAAATTGAAATTTACTCTATTTCACTACTACAAAAATGAACATATAAGTATAGCTTTATACTACACCTCTTAATAAAGGTGTAGTGAATAATTGAAACAAATAAGAATACACTACACCTTTTATTTTAAAGGTGTAGTAAAAAATAATTTCGATTAAAAAAAATTAAAAAGATTTTCGGATTTTTCGTAGCACCTCCAGGAAAATGGTGTCGCGAAAAATTAAATAATAAAATATTATTTAACTTTCTGAGGCACCCTCTCTCAAGGGTGTCACGGGAAATTTAACAATAAAATATTTAATAAACTTTTCGAGTCACCCTCCTAAAGAGGATGCCTTGAAAAGTTTATTATTATTTTATTATTTAATTTTCCCAAGGCACCTTCTCCAATGAAGGTGCCGCAGAAAGTCCCCCAAATCTTTTTTTTTTTTTTTTTTGGAAAATCACGCCAAAACCTAAATTATTTCACTAAAATCTGTCCATCTTCTCTGCTCAAATCTCACTCTGCCTCTCCCTTTTTCTCTCACTCTCACCCGACACAACTACCGCCTCCACCGCCACAACTGCTGACTCTGACTCTCACTCTCTCAGATCTGTCTTCTCTGCTGGCCGTCGACGCCCCTGCCACGCTCCACCGCCATCGTCGACACAACGCCTGCCTCAGCCACCGTTGGCGTTGGTGATAGCGCTGCCAAACCCCCCGTCGCTGACAATGACCCTGGTGCTGATCTCCCAGATCTGATTTCGTCCTGGTGATGACGACCCCGAGGCCCTGAAAAAGCCTAATCTCCTCTCTCTCGACGCCTTCTACCAGAACGAACTCCCTCTTCTCCTCCGGCAACAGAACCCTAATCCGAACCTCACCAAGCTCATGCAATAGAAACTCAGGCAAATGGAGGCACCGCTGTTCTTGCCGAATCCTCTCCTTTTTCGCGGGCATAGATTCTCGGTTTTCTTTATTTCTTGCTCTCTATGGTTTGCAATTTGCGATTCCGTTTCACTTGAATTTATCCTATTTTATTACTTTACAGCTTTTCAACATTTCCTTTTGTTATAAATACCGATGAGCTGCAGAAGGTGAACTCACGCTGCGATCGGGCTTTCTATTGGAGCATAGGGCGCCGGTATGTTGAATTTGTTCAGTTAAATGAACATTTTGTAATTATGAGCATGACGCGAATTGATGGTTATGTTAGTGGTGCCCTTTCACTTCTTAATAATAGCACTAAACGTGTCATCTTATCATCTATTATAATCTTCTATCCTCTATTCTATTATAATAAAGCCAAACATATTTGGTAATAAAAATTGAGAAATAAGTTCCCGCCTGATTGAAACGCAATCGTTTTGGATTTTGTTTTGGAAATTCGAATTCATTAAATACAATGTCTTGAAACTTTAAAGGTTACTGTAAACACAAAAAATAAACTTTGTATATATATTCACAAAATCCCGTGTACAGTGTGTGTATAATTCAATGCAGGTACAAAATCTCTGTCTAGTCCTCTGATTCTTCACTAACGTTATCTATGGAAGTGCCTCCGGGATTCAAATAGCGTAGCCTCCGGGATTCAATTGGCGCATGCCTCCGGGATTCAAGTGGCGTAGCTTCCGGGATTTAAGTGGCGTAACTTCCAACAACGAGCGTCAAGAATTTAGAAACCCTGCAAAGTTTCAAAACACATGCAATGGATTCAAGCTGCTTTAAGATCCTCAAATGCCTTCAAAAGACTTCAATATCTTCGAGACAATCAATTCTGCAAGGCTCCAAAGTACCTGCAATGGATTCAAATTGCCTGCAAAATCAAGAAAAATGTCATCAACTTCAAGCGTTCTTCAATGCCTTCAGGCTCTTCAAATGCTCTCAACTCCTTAAGTCTTCAAGTTCTTCAAGCTTTCAAGTGTCTTTTAGAATGAAATGAAGGTTCTATTTATACTAGAAGCCTAACCAACATTCCTCAACAAACTTCCCCTTTAATTAATTAATTAATTAATTAAATATTCTAGAAAATGAACCTTGCCCAGAATTAAGTCTAGGTTCATTATTGTATAATCGAATTCAAATTCAAATTAAATTATAATTATCTAATTCAAATATAATAAAATTAATATTATATTTAAATTATAATTATAATTTAAAATTCAAATTCAAATATGCAATGGGCTTGGACCAGTTAATTAATTAATTCCATGGCCCAAATCAAACTTAATTGGACTAATTAAATTAAATTAATTTATGTGATCCGATTAATTAAATTGGTCCAACATTTAATCTCGACGTCGGTCCAATAACCATTTATCAGCTCATTTGTTGCGTTCAAATTTTCTGTGTCTACAAATTGCCCCCTCGAGACTTGTCGGGACATGCTGCTTGTAATGCTTGGAACGAGGGAGTCTCGAAACTCAACAAATGATCCTTTAACTTCATCATGGTACATTTTAATTTCCTGAGCCCAAAACACGTGCATAATATTTCTTAAGTCTAAAATAATTTTATGATGTAAATGGTTAATGCATCCTAATCCATAGGCCCAAACACTTGCCTGAATACTTCATGAACCCAAAGTCATCTTTTTTATCACAAAAGATCAGACTGGCGCAATATATTTTAATTCCACAAACCCACTTATACTACGCCCAAGCCCATATAATTTTGCCATCTCAAACCCAAGCCGAAATCCATCTTGATGAGGATAGGTCTGCCTGAATCCTAACTCTAACCAAATGCACACTATTCCATCTGTGATTCTAGCAGCATAACTGCTTCCTCGCACGTTTGCAGAATTGTATCGATCATGTTAGGATTACAGAGTCCAACTCTAATTCCAATCCCTTCGCCGGGCACTATAAATACCTACCTCAACTCTCCAATCTTTACAAACACAAAGGAAACTGAGAAGGAAGTGAGGAGCTAACCACTGGAACTCTGCCATTCAATAAGGTATATTCTCCTTTTTCCTTTCTTTATATATACTGTCTTTTGCAGAAAGGATGATACATATGGCCGTAATACAAGAATGAGAAGGAACAGAGCAACATAAACGAAGCTGGAAGTGAACTGATAGCTGCTTCAAGGATTTTTTTCCTTTTTCCTCTTTATTTTTTTTCTGCAAACTATCTGCCGCAGTCTCCATCTGTTGAGGGTCGCTGGAATTGCCCGCCGGCGTTGTTGAAGTCGCTACTGTTGGAGCCTTGGACTGCAACCAAATGTCGTTCACACTCTGTCTCTTCACCGTGGCTGTTGCGGGAGGTTTTTTCTTTTTGTTTTTTAGGGGGTTGTCGAACTGCTGCCCGCCGGAGTTCTTTATAGAAGTCGCCGGTCGTAAATTGCCAACACTGCCGGAGTCCAAAAGTCTCGCCGGAGGCCGTCAGAGTTGTTGAACGAGAAGGTCACCAGAGTTCCATCTTTAAGGTCGTCATCGAAAACCAGAGCTTGCTGCTCAACGGTTTACGCTGCTCAGCCACTCGCCGGATTCTGTTCGCTATCAATGCTGCCGGGTCACCACCACAACTCAGGGAAAGCTTCATTCATAGACGATATTTAGACCGCCGCCGCCGGACGCTACTCAGCCCCCCATCCAGAGGTCGCCGAAGGCTGTGCTGCCTTCGCTGGAGTTCCTCGCGGAAAACGCCGTTAGATCGCCATCGCAGAAGCTCTGCTCTTGGAGTTCACCACCGGAGTTAGCTTATCACTGGAGCTTTTTTTTTTTTTTTTTTTTTTTTTTTTTTTGCCACCGGGAACTGACGCTGCGAGACCAGGAACCATGGACATTGATCTCTGCTACTGTCGGATGCCGATCGTCGCCGCACAGGTTGGGAGAAGACGGAGATGAAAGAAGCTACTGCCGATCGTAGCCGCAATGGAGACTGCTTTTCTATTTTGGCTCTTCTCCTTTAAAGATGAGAGAGTTGAGATATTTTGACGGAATAGACAACACATGCGTAGCCATATGAGAGACTTGATTAAATATGTTGACGGAATAGACAACACATGCTGCAAGATGAAGATGACGCGTACAGAGCTGCAGAAGCTTTTCTCCATTCCTCTTCGTTTTTTTTTTTCCGTTTTCTAGTCTTTTTTTTTTTTTGCTTTCTTTCTTTTCTGTTTCGTATTTTTTTTCTTTTGTTCTTTTGCTTTGCTTTTTCGTTTTTTTTTTTTGTTTCTCGTTTTTTTTTTGCTTTGCTTTTTGTTTCTTTTTTTTGTTTTGCTTTTTGTTTCTTTTTTTGTTTTGTTTCTCGTTGCTAATATCTAAATAGCAATACTATAATATAATATAATATAATAATAATAACATTACTAATAATAATAATAATAAATAATAATAATAATAATAATAATAATAATAATAATAATATAATATTGTGTATATACGTATACAATGTATTAACATATGTAGTCCACATGTAGTATATGTATACAACCATTATTCCGTGGATCATGGTCCATAAAATTGTGTGGACCATTGTCCAAAAAATTTGCCATATATATATAATTCGTCAATTTAATTTTGTGTTATGTATATGCTATACATTGGTGCATAATATATCATAGTTATTATTATTATTTTTTTTTGCAGCGACTTTTCGACTTTGACACATTCAAGATGGTGTACTTTCAAGATCAACGACGTAACGGGCAAGATGTCATGGTTATATCGAGCAGAAATAGTGATCATCAAGTCATACTGAAGGTTAACCCACCCATAGTACTACGCGACCCGCCAAAGCTCACGGTGTCGTATCATGCGAGTAACTGGACCCCCGAGTACGAATGCCCGCCATCCAAGGTGTGGACCTTGCTACCCGGAATGCAGCACCAACCTTCCAAAGACGCCCTTCCTACACTGGGGCGTCGTATACTTAATGCTGAGGTCTCGTGGGGCCAAGACATAGACTTCGATGGCGAATTCACTTTTCTAAAAGGATATTGGGAGTGGGTTGAAGAAACGCTTCACTTCTCCCACGACACCTTAAAGGAGGGGAAGATATATGATGCTGTGTTTGCGTCATTATTTACATATGACCGTAACATCAACATTGTCAAAGCCTTCTGCGAAGCATGGTGCCCAAGAACCAACACCCTGATCACCTCGTCTGGTGAGGTGAGCATATCGCCTCGGGATTTGCATGTTCTTGGAGGACTACCACTGTCCGGCGGTATTTACGACGAACACATCCCGAGTGCCCTAGACCTAAAAAGGGGCCCAAACAGGTGTTGTGCAAGCTTATTCGAGGCCTTTTATCTTTTAAACCAGCAAGAGGATGGCACCCCCTTTGTTCAAGCATCGCGATGGATTGACTTCTGGTGCAGAAAACCGCGAACACATCCAGCTCCTCCACCTCCATCTCAAAAGGACAGGAAATCTCGGCCAAAGAATACCCACAACCCAAGCGGAGAACTTAACAAATCCCTCAGGTGGTTAGATGTGAGCAGGACGCCCTTTCTTGAACTAGGCATCTCTCAGCGTTTCGAAAAGGAAGCTTATTTGGCCGCGTTTTTATCTTGTTGGCTTTGCGTGTTTGTCCTGCCAGGTACACCAACAAGAACCATTCGCCCAGAGACTTTTAGGATAGCATGTATGATGGCTAAAGGAGATAAGATATGTCTTGCGGCTCCAGTACTTGCTAGTATTTATTCTGGTTTAAACTCAATCTCGGAATCCCACTCTCCTGGTCAAATAGGAGATCCTTTTCCAATCCATTACGTGTACAGCTGGCTAGCAACTTACTACCAAACCCACTTTAAGACCCCCAGCCTCACGTTAGCAAACC